AATTGAAAGATCAGCGGTTCGATCCCGGGCTCCTCCAGGCTGCATGTCGAAGTATCCCAAATTGCTCCCGATGGCTGTTCCATCGGTGTGTGAGTGTGTTAAAACTGAGTAGCAGGTGGCACCTTGTATGGTAGCCTCGGCCACCAGTGTATGAATGTGTGTGTGTGAATGGGTGAACGTGACTCGTAGTGTAAAAAGCGCTTTGAGTGGTCACTAGATGACTAAAAAGGCGCTAAACAAATGCAGGTCCATTTACCATTTACCATTTAAATGCCCACGACCCAAAACCAGCATGTCTTGAGATGCAGTTGCAAAAAATGCTGTGATATGGCCCTTTGGTTTTTGCACATGGTAATTACACAAGCTGTTAAAGGTAGGATCTGGAGGATTTTCAAACAAAACAAAATATAGACATATACGAATGAAATCCTGCTTAATCATCACCTATGGGCTTCTACTCATGTGTGGTGGTGACTCTGTTTGCAGAGCTCCTGCCCTTTAACTGTATTTTGATGTTTTTGTGAGCTCGGACCGCTTCTGGGCGGAGATTTCCCCAGCCAATGAGAGAGCGCAGGTGCCGTGCCTGAGCGTGTCCGAGCGTGTCCGAGCGTGCACCAGCGCGAGCCTTGCCTGAACCTCTTCTGTGAGGCCTTCTTCCGTACCTCCGGGCTCCGTACACCCGGGAGAGTTGAGCCTGATAGGAGGGGCTGAATTTGAATGTGTGTTTACAAACAGCAACTGGAAAATCCTCCAGACCCTACCTTTAATTAATAAGTTTTAATGGTGCTGGTAGGCAGATTGTTCTGTTTTTGGACAGACAGGCTAGCTGTTTCCAGTTTCCAGTCTTTACGGTAAGCTAAGCTAACCAGCTGCAAACTGTAGCCTTGTTTTTACCATAGAAACATGAGAGTGGCATCCATCTTCCCATTTGAAAAAATCTAAAATATGCTTCAACCAATAAGGGTTTGATGATATAGTACAGATTACTTTGAAAAACAAAATTAAACTGGTAAAAAAAATACCACAGCAAAGAAAAACCTAAAATGTACTTGTCACACTAGAAAACCTTGAGGGTGCAGCCTTTGTTGTCTCACATTAAAAGTAGAGAGGTCAACAATATCACCAGTATAAACTACTGTAATACGCAGTAGGGGGAAATCACTAGTGTCATCATGATACAGTATTATATTGATTTAATTTAGCAGCCTGTGATTGATATGAGATGATATCATATGCCCTTTTAACACAATCAGTTACAGAAGATGCTGCAACCCCTTTTTTTTGCTTTTGGCCATAAAAGATAAAAAAACAACACTATAATAATTGTAAATAATTATAAACAGTTAATTGCAGTAAAGTTTACTTTAAATTGAAGCTTACTGGAAGAAATCTTTTCATCACTTTAATACAAATCATAATTGGGCGGCAGTAGCTCAGTCCATAGGGACCTGGGCACTGCCGAGGTGCCCTTGAGCAAGGCATCAAACCCCCCAACCGCCCGGTGGCGCCTGTCCATGGGCAACCTCCTCACCCTGACATCTCTCCATTTAATGCATGTGCATGTATTTCGGGCCTGTCTGCATGTGTATTAGTGTTGTGACTATCCAGCTTTTTCACTTCCAATCCGATACCGATATTACAGCCTTGAGTTTTGGCCTATACCAATACCAATCCGATCCAAGCGCGTATTATACATGTTCACTTATTTTGTTGTCAGTCATGTTAGAAAAGGTTTGATCAAGCAATATTACTCTAACAAGAACAACTACTTAATCGGGTTAGTTAGAATGATCCACAACAGTTGGTATGAGAAACTGACCCGTTTATTGTTAACAGGGTTAAATAAACAAACTTTAAATTTGAACATTAACATTAAATAAAAAATATAGCTGGTTTGCTTTGGCTGCTTTGGCCCCTTAATAAATAGAAAATAAATCAACACAAGAAATCTTTAAAATGTCTAACATTGAAATTAAAATAGCAGCAAGACTCCACACACTTAAAAATCAACCAGCCACCCTCCTCCTCTGATAAGTTAAGAACAGTCCCTTGATTGCAGTGAGGTTTGTGGGCCATGACCTGCCACAAAGAGAGAAATGTAAACGGCTCGTTTCTCCTCTGACACGTCACATACCTGTGTGCCGCCACGGCTTGGCTGTTCAGGTATTTCTGGGCAGTCATGACACCAACGAAGAGGACATTATTGGACCTGGAGCTGGGCTTCTCGGTCGCCGGTAAGCCGTTATCTTGCACCGCGGAGCACTATGGCCGCTGTATTTGACAGGAATATGGCAGAGCCTCCACCGTATTCCTGTCTGTGACCCCCATTCAACCCACAACTGGCAGGATTCGCCTTTCGTTCCTGTTGCTGGTTGAAATCTGTACTCGCACGGCGTGCTCCTGAATGATTTCTTTTGCTCGCACAAAACTATTTTTAGTTGCAAATGCGAGTAAAATGCTCGCACCGTAGAGCTCTGTGGAAAACAAATCACTGTACCATGATTGAGAGAACGGCCATGTTTTTTATTGTTTTGGGGTTTTTTTTTGTGCACTGTTATCTCGTGATAACGACTTATTATTTCGTTATCTTGATATAACAAAGATTGTTTTCTCGTGATAACAAATTAATTATTTTGTTATCTCGATATAACAAAGATTGTTTTCTCATGATAACGAATTAATTATCTCGTTATCTCGATATAACAAAGATTGTTTTCCCGTGATAAATGTCAGATCTGATGATTGTGCACTGGTTAATGTGATCGTCTTGATTTCAGCCTACAAGAGCTGCCGTGGTCCTGCCAGATGCCTCCTGCTGCTGCTGTTATCATTAGTCACACTTCTACTGTTATTATACACATATGATTATTGTCACATACCGTATATTTCCAAATAGTCGCCCGGTGGCAAATAGTTGCCGGGCACCTAACAGCCGCTGGGGGTTTGACCCCATTTTGCATATTAAGAGTGGGCTAAAATGAGTACTGGGCCATCAAATCACAGCATCCGTGGTGAGAGGACACGGAATTGGTGTAGGGTGTAGGTGATCACGGATATTTGATGTGGGAAAGATGTAGCCAGATGGATTACCTGTTTCAGATACGTGGCTGTCTGTCCGTCCGTCTGTCCACAGCACGAGTCATGTGCGCCACTTCACCACCGACCCATGTGTAAAAGCGCAAACAGTCCCTCAAGGAGGGACAGCCTGCCTGCAGGGCTGTCCCTCCTTGAGGGACTGAATGAGGAATGAATGAGGAAATAATCGCCCCAGTGTTTAATCAGACTGGCGTTTAATACGCAAAATGGGGTCAAACCCCCAGCAGCTATTAGGTGCCCAGCGGCTATTTGCCACCGGGTGACTATTTGGAAATATATGGTATGTGACAATAATCATATGTGTATAATAACAGTAGAAGTGTGACTAATGATAACAGCAGCAGCNCTGCTGCTGTTATCATTAGTCACACTTCTACTGTTATTATACACATATGATTATTGTCACATACCGTATATTTCCAAATAGTCGCCCGGTGGCAAATAGTTGCCGGGCACCTAACAGCCGCTGGGGGTTTGACCCCATTTTGCATATTAAGAGTGGGCTAAAATGAGTACTGGGCCATCAAATCACAGCATCCGTGGTGAGAGGACACGGAATTGGTGTAGGGTGTAGGTGATCACGGATATTTGATGTGGGAAAGATGTAGCCAGATGGATTACCTGTTTCAGATACGTGGCTGTCTGTCCGTCCGTCTGTCCACAGCACGAGTCATGTGCGCCACTTCACCACCGACCCATGTGTAAAAGCGCAAACAGTCCCTCAAGGAGGGACAGCCTGCCTGCAGGGCTGTCCCTCCTTGAGGGACTGAATGAGGAATGAATGAGGAAATAATCGCCCCAGTGTTTAATCAGACTGGCGTTTAATACGCAAAATGGGGTCAAACCCCCAGCAGCTATTAGGTGCCCAGCGGCTATTTGCCACCGGGTGACTATTTGGAAATATATGGTATGTGACAATAATCATATGTGTATAATAACAGTAGAAGTGTGACTAATGATAACAGCAGCAGTAGGGGGCATCTAGCAGGACCACGGCAGCTCTTGTAGGCTGAAATCAAGACGATCACATTAACCAGTGCACATCATCATCAGACTTGACAATTATCACGGGAAAACAATCTTTGTTATATCGAGAAAACGAGATAATTAATTCATTATCATGAGAAAACAATCTTTGTTATATCGAGATAACGAAATAATTAATTCGTTATCACGAGAAAACAATCTTTGTTACATCGAGATAACTAAATAATAAGTCGCTATCACGAGATAACAGTGCACAAAAAAACCCCAAAACAATAAAAAACATGGCCGTTCTCGTCTTCCATACTTAACGGCAGTGTTTGCATATGACATATTTTGGCTGTTGACCTGTATTTTCTTTTCCCGTTTTGTCACTTTGCATCAATGACATTGGATTGTTGATTATTGAAATGATACATCAAACAAGATTGACTGAACAAGGTCAATGGATCTTTACACCCCTAATATGCAAATATATAGATCAGAGCATCACATGGAGTCACAATGTGCAGTCTATGCTTTGAAGTTTGTTGTTTCATGTTTCAGGTGAGGTTAAAGTACTGATGATACTCACTGATATGAGGTGCTGGCAGAATGCGAGCAGCTCGCACAGGACCATGGCGCACTGAGAACAGCTCTTGGGCTTCCCCTGCCAACTGAAAGAAATAATTTGAATTAAAGATAATGTAGAATATCACATATCTGGTAGATCTGAGAAAAGAGACAGTCTGTACTTAAGAATACAGACGGACAATACAGTTAGAGTTAAGCTTAAACCACATATAAGGTATTAGGCAACCCAGAGATCTACCGGTCTACCCGTGGCCACATGACCTACTGTACTCACAGGTGTCAGTTATTAAGGGCATCATTTCCTGTCTCTTGCTGTCTGATGTTGAGTGTGTGTCTGGAAATACCACCTTCATTTGGTCTTCATAAGTACACCTTGGGATAACTATGCTATTTTTTCTGTACTTAGCAAAATAAAGTGTGAAATAACTACAAGGACTATAAGCAATATTCTCTTACTGTGCATCCCAGACCTGGAACACAATACCAAGTACTTTACGTGAATTTCCAACTCTCAACCTCCTTCACCAAACATCTCAATGCATGGCTATTGGAAAACGAGGACTGTGATCATTAACAATGTTTAAATTGTTTGAACTGTTTATTTGTCTATGAGGCAAATTGTTAGAACACCATTGTCAATTTTATGCAGTACTGCGTACACAATAGACCTTTTTTTAGAACATGCGCTTCAACTAGTAGCAGCAAAGTCTGGTAGCTCTGCAATTTTACTTAGTTTTACTGAATTTTTATTATATTCTTTCAACTACTAATGGATACGTCTGTGAGGAGAAGAGTTTATTCAAGAGAGGAGCTTTTTTCGTTGAAACGGAGCAAGTTTGGAGGACACCATCCTATTCCAACTGAGATGAAGAGGTGTTTTCATGGTTGCCGTGCTAGTGCAAAGGTGAAGGCTTGGAAGTGGAGATATAAGCCCTTTCTGCCATCAGTCATTATGGGAAATGTCAACTCTCTGCCCAACAAGGGTGATGAACTGCAGATATTGGTGAAGACTCAGAAAGTATACTGTGAGTGCAGTCTCATGTGTTTTACGGAAATGTGGTTGAATCAAAACATCTCAGACTCCAACGCGGATCTACCTGGCTTCGCTCTCATACGATCGGACAGAGACTCTAATGCCAGTGGCAAGAAAAAAGGTGGGGGCCTGGCTTTATTTGTGAACCAGAGATAGTGCAGTCCTGCACATATTACTGTCAAGGAGAAGATGAGTTGTCCAGATATTGAACTTTTGGCAGTTGATATGAGGCCATATTATGTACCAAGAGAATTCAGTCATATCATAACAATACTTGTGTACATCCCACCCAAGGCAACTGCTGAAGTTCCATGTGAAGTTCTCCATGAACTTGTTGCTAAGATACAGACTAAACATCCTGAGGCACTAATGATAATATCAGGAGACTTCAACCATGTTTCCCTCTCCTCTCACCTGACTGGATTTACACAGTTTGTTAACTGTCCAACCAGAGAAAATAAAACCCTTTATCCGCTGTATGCCAGTGTCAGAGAAGCTTACAGAGCCACTGCCTTACCACCACTGGGCAGGTCAGATCACAACTTGGTTCTTCTGCAGACATGTTACAAACCCTGTGTGTGGAGGCAGCCTGCAACTAAACTCACAGTCATGAAATGGACACCAGAGGCTACTGAGGCTCTAAGAGACTGCTTTGAATGCACAGACTGGGATGTGCCGCTGTAAACAGAGGAGAATATCATGGACGTTGATAGACAGGTTGACTGTTTTACTGATTACATCAACTTCTGTAGAGACACAGTCACACCTACAAAGACTGTACACTGTTTCCACAATAACAAACCTTGGATTACCCGTGACATAAAGGCAATCCTCAATGAGAAGAAGGCAGCTTTTAGAGATGGTGAAACAGCATGGCTCAAACAAGTGCAACATGAGTTGAAGAAGAGACTTAAGATGGCAAAGGTGGAATATTAAAAGAAACTGGAGAGGAATCTACAACACAGCAACATCCATGAAATGTGGAGAGGAGTCAACACCATCTCTGGTTACAACATCAAGAAAAGACAGTGGGTGATGGAGAAAGAGCTGATGAACTCAATCAGTTCTTCAGTAGATTCATTCCAGCAGCCACTCCCACTTCCAATGCTGCTTCTCCTCCTCCTACACCTCCACAACTTGTGTACAACTCCAATGTGGCAGCCACCCCCCCTCTTACACCTGTGCCTCCACCTTTGTCTGTCACAGAGATGGGGGTAAGGTTGGAGCTGGGAAGACTTTGCTCTGGGAAGGCTGCTGGCCCAGATGGTGTGTGTCCAAGGCTCCTCAAAGACTGTGCTGCCCAACTGCGCCAACCTCTCCACAAGATCTTCAACCTCAGTCTACATTTGGGGCGGGTGCCGGCACTGTGGAAGACTTCCTGTGTTTGTGCCGGTACCAAAAATTAAATGTCCAGCTGAACTTAATGACTTCAGACCAGTAGCCCTCATTTCGCACATCATGAAGACCTTGGAGCGGCTGATTCTACGCCTACTGAGACTTGAGGTCAAAGACAAACTCGACCCCCTGCAGTTTGCATACAAACAACACATTGGAGTGAACGATGCTGTCCTCTACATGCTTCACCGTGCCCTAGCTCATCTGGAGGAACCTGGCGCTTATGTGACAATCATGTTCTTTGATTTTTCAAGCGCATTCAACACCATCCACATCATCATCGAGGTGGTGCCAAGCTATAAGTATCTAGGTGTACACCTGGATAATAAGTTGGACTGGTCCCTAAACACAGACGCTCTCTACAAAAAGGGGCAGAGCCAGCTCTTTTTGTTGAGGAAGCTCAGATCTCTCGACATCTGTAGTAAGATGCTGCAGATGTTTTATCAGTCTGTGGTGGCAAGTGTGTTGTTTTATGCTGCAGTCTGCTGGGGAGGAAGCATCAGACACAAAGATGCAAGGCGGCTGGACAAACTAGTCAAAAGAGCTGGCTCTGTGAATAGAGTAAGGTTGAACACACTGGAAGAGGTGGTGGAGAGAAGCACACTGAAGATGTTCGAGGCCATCATGAACAACCCAGATCATCCACTCCACAACACCTTGAGGGACCAAAAAAATGTGGTGGCCAGCTCCTCTCTCTTCGATGCAGGACAGAGAGATACAGAAGATCCTATACCAACAGCCATCAGGCTTTATAATTCTTTGACATATAATAGATGAGCTGACAGATAATTGAATTTCCCCTTAGGGATGAATAAAGTTATTTTTATTCTTATTCTTATGTATGCTAATTTTGTGCAATATTTAGACACACACCTGCATTCGTGTGCTATGGGCATCGTGCAATTCAATCTAGCACTTTACTATTTGGTGCAATTTTGAGCAATGTGCAATATAACAAGTACTTAAACAAGCAGATACTTTGAGACATTTGATATCTAAAAATTCCTATGGTCTCCCAACTCTTGGTCTACCATGTTTCTGTGTATGTTGTTTTGCTTGTCTTACTCTGTTTGACTTAGATTATTTTCTTATTGTTGCCTTCTCTGTGTTTAACTTCAACCTGCCATGGGACTGGAGACAGAAATTAGCCGCCTGACTATAATCTCATGTATTTAAGTAATTGTTTAAGTAATTTTAAGTAATTGTTTATTAATACATATTGTCCCATTTTTTATAAAAAATAAATAAAAGCTTGTGGAGATTTCTGCTGAACAACACAAGCACAAACATATTTGTTCACATTGTAAGAAAAATAATCCACTCCAACTGCATGAAACTGTTTTTTTCATATTACAGGGGTAAAATAGGAGGGAGAAGGGTGGTCCAGTGGTTGAAGTTCCAGCCGAACCACAAAGTAAAATCTACTGAGCTCAAAATAAAGGTTCAGTGGCATCGCAATGCAAATGAGCTGCCTACACTTACTGTGACAGTGCCAACAGGAGAGGGCTGGGGATACTGATTAATACCACGTGGGCAGAAGCCCATGATGTCATTTCCTTTGCTCTGTGGCTGTGACAGACACCATCCTATTCTCACCGCTTATAGTGAATGTATGTGTGTTAGCAACCACAGGGAAGTTTGCATTTTATAATTAAAAAGTTGCACACAATGGCTATTTTATAAGTCACTTTCAGTATTTTAGACTAAATGTTTCAATAAGACTTTTATTAGGCCCAAAATTACAGAATACAAAGAGTTTATTTGCACAGTTGATTAGACAAACTATAAAAAGTTCAGATGATTAAAACATTTTAAAGACATCCTTTTTGGTTTCTGGTCAAAATGTTCTGAGTGTTGAGGGTTTTGTTTGGGGAATGTATAACCCTAGTATATCAAAAATCTTGGCTGTGTATTGGGCTAGGTTTTGTCAGGAATGTTTTGATGCTAGTGCTAATACAGTATGATATCTAAGCTTCAAGAAAAAAATGAAAAAAAAAACTATTAAATCTATTTGGACATTATTGCTGCAAGTTAATATTTCGTACCTTTCAAACTTTCAGAAATTTCTTATATATTCTGGTAACAATTCTGCATTCAAATGAATGGATGATTTGTTCACAATTAAGACATTTTCATGAATTTTAAAATCTCATGTACTCATTCATACTCTCAGCTAAAACTCCTTTCAAACATTTAAATGTTCCACATCTTCCATATTTAAACATTTGACCCTTCTGGAGCTTAGTAAAAATGTTTACACTGGTGTGTCTTGGACAGAAAGCTCACAGCCAGATTAGAGAGAAACTTTCACTGAGACCAGAAATCTCTGTAAGAAAACAGTGCCAGTTTTTCAACCTGCAGCAATGCTCACATTTTTGACACTACACAAACAGATTTCACACAATGAGTTCATCAGGGTGTCCTATCTCTCACAAATGCAATGTAAGTTTCAGGTTTTGACAGGGAAGCAGATATTTAAAAGGTGTGCCTCAACTCAATCTCTATGAAGTTAACCATGACCCAGGAGTCAATCAGCAGTTAGCATTACAATGGCGACCTTGGACTGCAGACAGAAACACAAGTGATTGACATGAGCTAATTTGTGCAGTTCGAGACACACACACAGACAAAGGACTTTGACAGGCTTTTTTAAAT